ACGGGAGCGCCTTTCCTGAGTAAATTGCGCGGAAGTCTCAAGCGGGAGCGGGGGTCCTGAGTAAAAACCGAGGAAGTCTCAGGCGGGAGCCGTTGTTGTTGTAGCCTGGGGGGCAGGGGCACAGTTTGAGCAGGAAGACTTTCCTTGAGAAAAAACAAGGTGCGAGCCCCGGGGGTGGCACTTCAATCGAAAAAAATAAATGTGCACCGGTGGGGGGGGATCAACAATAATTATTCTTCAAGAATGAGAGTTCAACAACAACAACAACAACAACAACAACAACAACAACAACAACAACAACAACAATTTTTTAAGGCTGTACGCTCTTACTTGCCCGCGAGTCATTCAACACGTATACCCTACACCCTCGAAACCCGCCCTCTTCGTCTTCGATCACACCCCTTTCGGGGGGATTCTGTCTCTTTGCTGGGGCCGGCGAGCTTAGACGCACGGGCAAACCGGAACGGGCGGACAATCCTTCGGGGGCGTACATCTCTCTGCCCGCCATTGGAATTGGCGCGGGCCCTGCAAGAGGAGGAGGGGAAGAACGAGGGAGAGTGGGAGGAAGGGGAGGGGGAAGGACGAAGGAAGAGGGAAGATACCACGTTGTGAAGGCGTCCTTGGCGCGCGCGTGGTTCCTGAGCGCCGAAACGCAATTCCAGAATAATTTGTGAGGACGTCGCACGCGAGAGCGCAGTCCTGAGTACATTGTGAGGAAATCTCGGGCGGGAGCGGAGGCCCTGACTAAGTTGCGAAGAAGTCTCAAACGGGAGCGCCGTTCTTGAGCAAATTGCACGGAAGTCTCAGGCGGGAGCGGGGGTCCTCACTAAATTGCGAGGAAGTCTCAGGCGGGAGCGCGGTTCCTGAGTGAAAGCAGAGAAAGCAGATGGAGATACTACAAAGGTGCCAGCACTTGTGCCTCTGAAGCGGTCAAGTCCAGACAATTCGGACTTTCCGACGTGGGCTCCAGAGAGGAAGCGTGGCAGATTCAATTTGGAGCCAGCGTGTGATTCGGCATCTCCAGCAGCATCGCCAGCAACGCCGTTCAGCCCGTCACCGAGGAAGAGCTTGCCACCAGTGCCGCCGATGCGTGGCTTGACGGCATCCGCCCTCGCAGTCAATTGCGCGGAAATGTCAGACAGGAGCGGGGGTCCTGAGTAAAATTCGAAGAAGTCTCAGGCGGGAGCGCCGTTCCCACGTAAATTGCACGGAAGTCTCAGGCGGGAGCGGGGGTCTTGATTACATTGCGAGGAAGTCTCAGACGGGAGCGCCTTTCCTGAGTAAATTGCGCGGAAGTCTCAGGCGGGAGCGGGGGTCCTGAGTAAAAATCGAGGAAGTCTCAGGCGGGAGCCGTTGTTGTTGTAGCCCGGGGGGCAGGGGCACAGTTTGAGCAGGAAGACTTTCCTTGAGAAAAAACAAGGTGCGAGCCCCGGGGGTGGCACTTCAATCGAAAAAAATCAATGTGCACCGGTGGGGGGGATCAACAATAATTATTCTTCAAGAATGAGAGTTCAACAACAACAACAACAACAACAACAACAACAACAACAACAACAACAACAACAACAACAACAACAATTACTAGCACGTGGGGACACTCCGTTCTCACCAGTGCCAGGGTTTTCATAGGAGGCGGGCAATACCCCCACTTTGTGGGGGGGCCGGTTCAAGCTCTACCACATTTCCAAACGACTCTTCGCCACCACCCACACCCAGCTTCCCGCCCTATGACGTTCGGACACCTCACTTCGTGGCCTGCGGACGACCTTGGCTACTACACTGGCGCATGGGTACAATGACTTGTTGTGGTAACATTTTCTGTAAGCTAGCTTAGTATACGACTTTTCCCCCTGCAATTGAAGATTTCGGCGTGCGCGCGCGAAGAAAAAACGAATGTGTCCCATATGGTATTATTTGACAGGGATGATGGCCCTGGCAGGCGCGCAACCGTTGTTGCAGAAGTTCGAAGCACGTGAAAAAGTTGCTCGCAAGAGCCCGTTTGACAGAAATGTTGAAAAAGTATTGGGTTTCCTAAGAAATCCGCAAGAGCGCGCGGGATGAATTGTTGAAACTTTTTTTTTGAAAAACCATTGGGTTTTTCATGTTTTTATGTTAAAATCGCTACGAAAACTAAGGTTTTGGAAGGATTTCATCTTGCGCGCGCGAGTGTGCACTTCGTGTCATTTTTTGCAAAGGATTCTTGAAGTTTGGTTATGTTAGAACAAGACATGTCATTTTATATTGTTTTTTGACAGGGAAAGCGGGCGTCAACAAAACAACCGGATCCGGACTCCCCCGTTTTGCCTGAGACTTCCTCACGAAAATGATGAAAATGTGGCTGCGGCCTAGGCGCGGCGAGGGGGGCGCGCACCAGGGGGCCCAACAATAATTATTCTTTAAAAGTAATAATATTCAACAACAACAACAACAACAACAACAACAACAACAACAACAACAACAACAACAGCAACAGCAAGAGCAACAACCACAACAACAGCAGCAGCAGCAGCAGCAACGACAACAACAACAGCAACAACAACAGCAACAACAACAACAACAACAGCAACAACAACAAAAACAACAGCAACAACAACAACAGCAGCAGCAACAGCAACAACAACAACGACAATGAAAACGGAAACAACAACAACAACAACAACAACAACAACAACAACAACAACAACAACAACAACAACAACAACAACAATTACTAGCACGTGGGGACACACCGTTCTCACCAGTGCCAGGGTTTTCATAGGAGGCGGGCAATACCCCCACTTTGTGGGGGGGCCGGTTCAAGCTCTACCAAATTTCCAAACGACTCTTCGCCACCACCCACACCCAGCTTCCCGCCCTATGACGTTCGGACACTTCACTTCGTGGCATGCGGACGACCGTGGCTACTATTCAGGGCCCCGCGGCCGACGACGACGGCGTGCGCGCGCGAAGAAAAAACGAATGTGTCCCGCATGGTATTATTTGACAGGGATGATGGCCCTGGCAGGTGCGCAACCGTTGTCGCAGAAGTTCGAAAAAGTTGCTCGCAAAAGCCCGTTTGACAGAAATGTTTAAAAAGTGTTGGGTTTCCTACGAATCCGCAAGAGCGCGCGGGATGAGATTTTGACATTTTTTTGTTGAAAAACCATTGGTTTTTTGATGTTTTTATGTTAAAATCGCTGCGAACACTAAGCTTTTGGAAGGATTTCGTCTTGCGCGCGCGAATGTCCACTTTACCTTATTTTTTGCAAGGGATTCTTGAAATTTGATTATATTAGAACAAGAAATGTCATTTTCTATTGTTTTTTGCAAGGGAAAGCGGATTACAACAAAACAACCGGATCCTGTACACACCCTCTTTTCTGAGGCTTCCTCACGAAAATGATGAAAATGTAGCTGCGGCCTAGGCGGCGCAGGGGGGGCGCGCACCAGGGGGCCCAACAATAATTATTCTTTAGAATAAATAATGTTCAACAACAACAACAACAACAACAACAACAACAACAACCAAGACGACGACGACAACAACAACAGAAGCAGCAGCAGCAACAACAATAACCACAACAACAGCAACAATAGCAACAATGACAACAGCAGCAACAACAACAACGACAACGACAACGACAACAACAGTAACATCAGTAAAACATCATCATCATCATCATCATCATCATCATCAGCATCATCATCAACAGCAACAACAACAGCGACAACGACAACGACAACAACAGCAACCAAAATCACAACTATATTCAAGCATATGTTTCAAAAAAGGTTATAAAATCTTCCCCAGGCGATTTTTGTTGACTATGTTTGAATATTCCCCCTGCAGAGGGACACGACCGACTTAACCGTGGGGGTATCCTGCGTGTCCAATCTGATGGGCCCCCCCCCCAGGGGGGGTGGGGATTTCTGGTGGTCGCAGCGCCCAGCGGTCGCACGGCGCGGGGGGACCAGAGATCGAGCCACAAAAAGTGCAAATCATATACAGTTGGGACCCTTTCACAAGAAACCTTCCACAAGAAACCCAACCCTGAGACCCCAGGACGTCCATTGGTTTTTGGTGTGGGAACGTCACACTTCCCATCGCAAAACCATCGAAACCCAAGGAACTCCAGGGCACCCTGGAGGCAAGCAGGGTGTTTCTTGGCATGGGCGGCCCCCACTGTACACTAGGAGCGGGAGCGGCGGCGTTCAACGTTGAACGCCGGCAGCGGGGTCGCGCGAGGTGCACCTGAGAGGAAACCCAGAGCACCGCGACCGCACCAGCCTCTTTAACGGCTGCGGGAAGTCACCGCGCAGCTCGCGGAGCGAAGAAACCCAGGAAGCCCTGAAGGAAAGCACATGGTCTCTTGATGCGCGCCCCCACTGTGCTGTCAACCCGTTTCATAAGGACGCGCGATGGGGATGCAAGGGCCTTGGAAGGCCACCTCGACACTCTGCGAGCGGGGCGCGGCCGGCGAAGGCGATCAAGGATGGGCCGAAAGGGGAAGGATGCAAGGTCAACATCGGAAAGTCGCGCATCCTTACTATGCCGGCCGACCGTGGGAGGACGGCGGGGTGGGAGGATGGCATTGCACCCCTCGGCGGCTCAAAGATGGGGCCCTGAGGGATAGGGCCCCGAGGGATGGGGCCCTCCTGAGCGAGGGGCCTCGAACGGTGTAAACTCAGCATGGGATCCCACCCCATCTTGGGCCCCCATCCCTTAGGGACTCTTCTTTGCTTGATCCGCCGACCCCCGAGGAGAATACGCTCGTCGGCAGCTCGGCGACTTTGTTGCAGAGGCCCACGGAGGGGGAACAAGCCCTGAACGGCCCCCGTATGAATCCTCACAGGAGCCCTCCAGGCAGCACCCGAACAACCATGCATGAAGCAACTCAACTTCTCAAGGAGCACACATAGACACCAGCGACACTATACGCAGCGCGGCTGAGGCAGGAAGACGGAAGAGGCGGACGGAGGAGGCTGGAAGGAGTTGGAGGAGCAACGAAATACGGCGCGACCTGAGGCAGTGGATGGGATTCGATGTGAACCAAGAGCATGGCAGCCGCTGCGCACAGTCCCTGACACCCGCCGCTTCGCGGGACAGAGAGAGAGATGGAGAGAGACGTCCAGACATTGGAGGGAATGCGAACGATAGAGAGGGAGTGAGAGAGGAAGGTAAACCAATAGAGTAAAGGAGAGAGAGAGAGAGAGAACAAAACACGGCTGCACATCTAATAGACTTGTATATACGTATGCACTATGAAAACGGATACCTGTAAAGCCACCATTCGGGTAATAAGGAGGTTGGGGTGGAATGGGTGCAGCTGTCGGTTTGCGATGGGCGCCGAATCGGATACGCGACATGTCTATCCAACGATCTTGGTATCGGTCAATCGCTCTCACTCTTTACTGGCTTCACGACGCATCCATCTGCTAACAACGGGACAATCACGAGAAACCGATCTAAATATCTGTCGGCTTCACTGCCGAAATACCGATGTTGGTATCAACAGATCGGTCGGTCTCTCGACTTACCTGTCTCACAGATCATCGATCGATCTCACCATCAATACAACGATCGGTCCCACTACCTACCAGTATCATTACTATCGATCGTTCTCAACGAGATAGAATTCCACATATCGATATCTCTATTTGTCGATCGGCCTCACTATCGATGTATCGACAAACGCGACAGCCGCAAGACAACCACGGACCAACCACGGGACAAACATGGGACAACCACGACACAACCTCGGGACAACCACGGGACATCCGCGGGGACAACCACGGGACAAACGCTGGACAACCACGGGGGAACCACAGGACGAGCACGAGACAACTGCGGGATGACTGCGGACGACCACGGGAAGACCACGCGGGACGACCTCGCGCACACCCCCCCGAGAGGTCCTCGGGGGACAGCCGCGGGGCCGCCGCGGGGCGACCCCGAGCGCGCCCCAGAGGGCCAGGCATCGGCTCAGTTTGACGAGGCCTGGGGCGGACTGGGCCGGGGCCTCGCGCCGCGTCGCCTCGCCCGAACGCACGACGCGCCCAGCGTCTGGGCCAGTGGCTTTGGTCTGGCGGCACTGTGGCCGCCGTCGCCGCCTCGCCGCCGCCCGGTCGCCGCCCGTCGTGTGGGCCTGTCTGTCGGTCGCCGCACCTATTGCCGCAGTCGCCGCCCCGACGCCGCCTCATATGGATTGCACAACAGATACTCCACAGCACAAGCTGCACCACATAGCTTGCACCACATAGATAGCGCACCACATAGATCGCACGACCTAGATTGCACCACGTTGACACCGCACATATTGCACAACGTTGATCTCACCACATATATTGCACAACATAGAATGCACAGCCTAGATTGCACACCACAGATTGCATCACACAGATGGCATCACACAGCTTGCCCCACCTATACTACGACAGCACATATGGATACCTCATCGATCGCACCACATACATCTCACAGCACAGGTTTCACCATATCTATTGGCCCACATAGAATGTATATTGCACCACATACATTGCACCACATAGGTGGCACAACATTGATTACACAACCTATGTTGTTCAACATGGATTTCACCACATTGATTGCTTCACATAGATTGCACCGCATAGTTCGCGTCGCATAAATTGCACAACATACAGTGTACAACATAGATTGCACAACATAGATTGCACCACCTATATTGCACCACATGGGTTGCTCCGAATGAGTTGCACAACATCTATGGTAATCCCACCAGCCCTATGGGCGTCGGTGGTTTAGGGAATTTCCTCTTCCACCCCTCCTTCTTCTCCTTCGGGGAGGGGTTTACCCCTCCCCCTACCCCCTCCCCTGGACCTGGACGGGGGGGTTCGCGAGGTGTCGGAGCTTCCAAAACGGCCTCGGCGAGGAAGCCAAAATCATTGATTGTACTAGGGTGTTGGCCCCATTTTGACCTCCTGAGGGGGGGCCTAATTAGTCACCCCCCCTCCTGTGATCGATCTCGCCCAAGATGGCCCAAAGATGGCCCCCAAGGCCCCAAGAGACCCCCCAGGGGCACCCAAGATGCTCCAAGAGGCCTCGGCGAGAATGCCAAGTCATTGATGTCACTAAGGTTTTAGCCACATGTTGGCCTCTTTGGGGGGGCACTGATTAAGATGACTCCAAAAGCGCATGGGAGAGCCCATGATGACCTCCAAAATGGCTTAAGATATCCCAAGATGTCCCATAATGGCTCCCACGATGCTCCAAGATGCCCCAAGACCGCTCCAAGACGGCTCCAAGTGGCCAAAGAGCTCCCCCAGAAGGCCCCGAAGAGGCCAAAACCTGATGAAAATCTATGTGTTTGGCTTTCTCGCCTTTTCGCTTCCGATGGCCATCCGAGGCCTCAAGACGGCTCCAGGATGGCCCAAGAGGGCCCCAAGAGAGGCTCAAGAGAGCCCCAAGACGGCCCCAAGAGCGCCTAAGAGCTCCAAGAGCGCCCCAAGAGCGCCCCAAGAGGCGATTGCTTGGGCTCCCGAGGGACAACGCTACCTAATCCTAATGCTCGTTGTTTGTTTGATCGATGTCCTCCAAGATGGCCCCAAGAGCGCTCCCAAGGCTCCCAAGAGCGCTTCATGAGAGCCCCAAGAGGCGCCCAGGAGGCCCCAACAGGCGCCCAAGAGGCCTTCAAGATGTTCCCAAGAGACGCTTTCCGAGTCACCCAAGACGCTCCAAGAGGCCTCCACTGGGGGACCCTTCCTCTGTGTGCTGCCCACTTCCCTGATCAAGGCAATTCCTCTGGGCATCGTTTCTGGATGGGCTGGTGGGATTACTTTTTTGGTCGGCGGTTCCCAGGCGACGGTCTAGGAGCGAAAGCGGCGCCCGGGTGGCGGAACGAAGCGAATTTGCGAGCAGGCCGCCAGCGTCGGCGGACAAGTTCGCACACGCAAGACAAACTCGCAGATGCACGTGCACAAAACAAAATGAACTGAATTCACCAGCAAACGCACATAGGCGCAGCGACGTGAACCGAAGTAAACGGGCTGCCGCGAAGTCTGCGCGGGGGCACGGGAGTGAGTCGCCGGGGTGGCGCCAGACTCCGAGCCGACCTGCACAAGCCGACTGGCTGCGCATTGCCGCCGAGCTGTGCGGGGGAAGACCGAAGGCTGCACAGGCGTTGCAGGCTGGACCGCGCCCCGCCCAGCCTCAGAATGCATATCCCAGTGGGGGGCCAACGGCAGCCCGTCCGCGCCCGCGTGGCCGAGACCTGGAGAGCCCGCTGGCGTCCGAGACAGAGCGCGGGGGAAAACCAATGGCTGCCCAGGCGTTGTAAGCTGAACCACACAGCGCTCAGCCCTCAGAAACTCACCAGAAGCACTACTCCCACTGCCGAGATGCCAGCGGCCGCCCAGGGCGCAACTGCGCTGCCGGGCCCTGTAGCGAAGAGGTCCGCGGGCGCGCAGCACCTCCGACGGGCGGCGGGGGTCTGCGCATTGGTGGTGGAGACGCCTGAGCTGCCTGCCAGGGGGGGTCCTGCTGAAGAGGCAGAGGTGGCCGGCCACGCCAGACTGTCGCGTGGCGCTGCCCATGAGCTCAAGCGTGGTCCCACGCCAGATGACTCACCACGCCGTGGGAACTGACGCAGGTATGGTCAAGGAGCCCAAGAGAAGCGCGACCCACGGGGCGAGTAGGAAGGGGGGGGGGCACAATCCAGCGAAGGCTGAAGGGGCAAGCCCCGACGGCACGGGCGGGGGGCACCCACCGGGCCATAGGGGAGAGGCGGGGGATGCAGCGACACGCCCCGCGGCCAGAGCTTGCAGCCGAGACCTGGGGTCGAGGCCAGTCACCTGTTGCGCCCGGGGGGGGCTGCGACTCGCCGCGAGCGCCCGAGTGGAGGAAAGGGGGGCGCAGCTGACCGCCGCAAGATACCATTCACAATGTGGGGGAAAGGGGGGGGGGCGCAGCTGACCGCCGCAAGAAACCATTCACATTGTAGGTGTCGCAGCAGCTCGCCGCTGAGGTCCCAGTTGGAGTGGGCCAGCGGGATGTGCCACTTGGGGGGGTCCCGATGCGTCGCAGCTGCTCCCCGCCGGAGCTGAAGCCGCCAAAACTAGGGCCTGGAACATCAGGCCGGGCGGCGCGCAGGGGGGCTGCTTCTGTCGCCTTCCCCCTGTCACCCGAAGGTGGGCGGCTGTCGCGGCTGGACAGTAAACGTGGGTGGTGCGCCGGGGGGGTGCTTCTGCCAGCGACCCCTTGCCACCAGAGGGAGCGGCTGTCGCCGTGGGACAGCAAAGTAGGCTGTCCAGGGACCGGTCAGCCCAGTGGGCCGGCATGCGAAATGTTCGGGGGGGTGAAATGCTCGGGGGGGGGGGGGGTCCACGTCTCCAGCGCGGGCTGTCTAGTTACGCAGCGCCCCGGGTGAGATGCGGGGCGACCCCCGCCCCAGCGGGAGTTGCCCCAAGGCATTACGGCCAAGGCCGGGCGCTGCGAGGCGAAACAATCCCCTACGGGGAGCGGGGGGGGGGGGGCGTGAAGGCCGACTGGAGGAGGTGGCGTAGGCCACTGGCCAGGAGGGCTGGGGGTGCGCTAACTGGCTGACTGGGTCCTGCTAGCCCTGGGTGAACGAGCCCCCCCTGCCCCACCATCGGGCGCGCTTGTCCGTGTATCGATCGCCCCCCCATGGGGGAGTAACGTTTACCTTTTCCTTTCCAGTCCGTGTCCGTCCATGGGGCTTTCTGGCGGCCCCAGGAGTTCCACTCCTGCCAGTCCTGCCACTGGCTGGGGGTGGCAGAGCCGACGGCACCCGCCCATCGGTCATGCTCGGCCGCCGCAGTGGCTGACCTGCCCTCTGCCGTCCATGGGGCTGGTCTACTGCTGCTGTCGGGGCCGCGTTGAGCGCGCGCTCGAGATTCGCGTCGCACGAGCTTCATGTGCTTGTCCTTGACTGACGGCCAGTGGCCGCTGAGTCCTAGGTCGCTGCCCATCTTGTAGGCGTCATGCCCTGCGTCGTTCCGGGCCTGGAGGAAGTCGTTGCACGACTCTACTGCGTTCAGTTTAGGGTCGTGTTTTTTGGCTTCCGCCGCACTCCTGCCTCAGGGC